CTGCTGTGGTTAAATACAAGTTTAGATGATTTTAGTTAGTGCTGACTTATTGCCCTCTAACGTTACAATAGATGTTGCTTTTGATGTCAGCAGATTTTTATTCTTTTGAAGAAAAGATTTTGAGGTGCTTTTGTTATAGATATGCATATTTTTTCTGGAAGACTATAATATTACATTTTTACCTAACCCTTAAAAACACTTCCCAAGATGCTTATTGAATACTGCAATTTTACTTCTGTGGAATAACAACAACAACAACAAAACCTGACACATTATGTGACTTGAAAGTTTTTCATTAAAAGTAAAATAGATATCTCTATGTTCACAGCTGTTTGTACTTATGGACCCCCAAGTGGCCTCCTTTTATGAGGACAATTCCTTGTCTTTCTCATAGGAATTTTCTCCCATAAGAGACTCAACTAAATTTTGTTTTTATTTTTTCCTGTTTTCTTTTTCCTTTAGAATTTAATCATATTTATGTGAATCTCTTAATCTTAAAATTTCAAAGTATACAGTCTTAATCTTTTAAAACTTACCATATGGTGTCAACATATTCTCTGTCTGTGAATTATCTTGCCTTCTTGTTTGTACTGTTCACTCATATTCAATTTTTATTATATTTCATTTAATTAATGTTTTATTTTTTATTGTTGTTTTAAAGGCCATTGGGATCTTTCTCTACTCTATTATCCCAGCAGTTTAGTATGAGTGTTCTATGATATATTTCATGATGATTCTATCAAATGTCATCTCTAACATACTTAACTAACATTGGTATACTAGTGATTGTTGATATGTACCTTGCAAATAGTACTACAGCAGGATTGCACCAAATTACTTACTACCCAGCAACGGTCTTCTTCTGCTACCATCTTACTGATGTCAGACCTTTAAATTATCACCCTGATGTTTCTGAATTGATATCAGATTTTTAATTTACATCTCTCTGCTTAGAAATTTGAACTTTAAAAAATTATTAGGCCCTCGTGTCTTCATCTTCAAAAATGTGTACATAATTATATTTCCTACTATAATTTAGTTCTATAAGTTTACTATTTGTCTTTTTATTTTCACTTAAAATATCTTTATCTTTTGTGTCACATACAAATTTTTACTGATTTCCAGCCGGGCGGTGGTGGCGCACGCCTTTAATCCCAGCACTCGGGAGGCAGAGCCAGGCGGATCTCTGTGAGTTCGAGGCCAGCCTGGGCTACCAAGTGAGTTCCAGGAAAGGCGCAAAGCTACACAGAGAAACCCTGTCTCAAAAAAAAAAAAAAAAAACCAAAAAAAAAAAAATTTTACTGATTTCCAAATAATTAGAATAATACTAACTTGTGCATTCTGTTGGTTTTTAATGCAATTATTTTGTAGATAAAGATTTTTTTCAATGCCTTATTGGGAAATTCTTAATGTCTGTGTAAGATCAGTTTTCATTAGTAGGTTTTATATGTTGCAGAAAAATGACTTGTATTTTTGTTGTAGAATATTCCTTTACCCTGTGTGAAGATGTGTCACTATGATCGGTTTAATAAAAGCTAAATGGTCATAGCTAGGCAGGCGTTTTAAGCAGGATTTCAGGATAGAGAGAGCTCTGGGAAGAAGAAAGGCAGTATCACAAGCCAGATTTAAAGGGATCAAGACATGCTGGAGGAGAGGTAAAAGCCATGCGTCACACGGCAGCACACAGATGAATAGAAATTGGTTTGGGACAAGCCCAAGCTATAGGCCAAGTTTTCATTATTAATCAGTCTCTATATCATGATTTGTGGGCTGAGGGACCAAAAAAAAAAAAAAGTCTGGTACATACTTTCTTAGCAGTTATATATTCATTCAGTAGAACAAAGAATTAACCAAGTTTTAGCATTTTTACTTATAGTTAATGCCCCCAGCTTCCCAAGAGAGGCGCCTTTATGTTGCACAAGTGAGATGACAGATTTCTCTCCTTTTATTTGTCAAGCTTGCGCTCAATAGTTAGTAACCTCTGGTAATATCAATCACATGGGATACTATAATCAGATATTTTCCTGATAAGCTGAAGATTATTGTTAGTGATGCACTTTTTATTTCAATGGTATCAGTTTCTCAATGAAACTATTTATTTAAATTTGTTTTAAAATATTGAGACCAATGAACAGTCATCTACATTTTTACAATCTGTTCTTATAGAATTGTTTAGCGAATTTTTATAGAATTTTTTATAGAATTTTCTATAAAATTTTATAGAATTTTTATGTTCTTATAGAATTGTTTAGCTGAATATTATTATGTAGTTTATTCATTGTTTAGTAGAATATATAATATTTACCCTAAATAAGATATTGGTGTGATGTCTCCCATTATGTTTTAATATTGTTTACATCAAGTCACCAGGAATAATTTTATAAGCAAACAGTGTGCTAATGGGATTTTTCTATATTACTACCAGTCTGAGAGTTCTGTGTCCTAAATATTGGGAGAAGGAAGAAATGCCCAGTGTAATTTTACTTAATATTAAAGATTATTAGTCATGAAAGCTTATCAGCTTTCCATACACAGCGCTAGTACCCAGCAAGGTTTCCAAAAAAATTAAATAGATTGTAAAACCAGTCTCATTCCATTGGACCACATGGACTTTAATAGCCATAAACATATAGTCGTGTCTTAATTTCAAGGAAGAGATTACTTACTTGGTATGTGCATCCTTGCTCTTAAGAAAAGTCTCTATTAATGTCAGTTCTACTCTCAGACTCAGGAGTTAATATAAAAACACACCCAATTCTCTATATTCATAGAAAATACCAGAAAATTTAACATCATCTATTTTAAAGAGAACAAAAACTCTCTGTTTCATAGAAACACACTCAATTTTTCAAATACTGTATGAACAATTAGTTTTAATGACAAATATATTTCAAATAAAACTACATAAATTGTAGTTTTCATTACTTCTTAAATAAGATAACTCATGTTTGCAGCTACTTAGTAAATATTTTTTTAAATCATGACTTAAATTCAACTTTAAATTATATTTTATTTAGAATTATAAAATATTAGAAATATAAAACTCTAAGCATTATTTGTAGATCAGATATATATTTTCCAGATTGTGATTTCACTTACTATCATTAAACATTTTAACCTGTTAATATTTATACATTTTTCTTAATTGTAAATGTTGGGTTTTATTGAAGAAATTCATTTGTATTTTATTGTGATATAACACCCTAAAGTTCTGAAGTTCGTTTTAATACCTTCAAATGCATAATCTTCACACGGATAAAGTAAGCAAAATGAATAAAAGTCAGTTATTTAAGAAGAAAGTCATGCCATTAAAATATACTTGGAAGTAAAATTATGAATGGAAAATATTTCTCTTTTCATCTGGAGTTGGACAATTGTTGGAGGCCCCAAACTCAATTTTAACTTGTAATGATTTTAATGTTCTGTTTTAAGATAAGCTAAATTCCATTATCATACTTGAATGCATGTGACTAGGTTCAATTATTACATAAAGATAGAGACAGACAACACACTGGCACTTCAAGTTCAGCAATTACAGAATCTGGTGATGTCACTACTCTAAAGTATCGGGAACGCAGCAGTGTCTCAGGCAAAGGATGCTTTGGGAGGAGTTGGTCCTATATAGATAGTATGCTTAGTACTCATTGCTTGACAGTTGTCAGTGATCCTCATGAGCAGTGATATACTGATATGTCTACTCATCATTCATTGAATTGACATTTTAAATATTACTTATTACATTTTCTGTGTCTTTTCAGTATTTCTATTTTTCAGTTATTACTAGTTTCACTTGGAAACAAAATTAAATAAGTACTAATAGCGTATATCTTATATATTTAAATATATTAATAATTATATATTTAAATACATAAAGATGTAATTTTACTACTTTTAAAAATGATTTTATTAGTATTGTTATTTTTTTTTACATCTCAACCACAGTTTCCCCTCTCTTCTCTCCTCCAAGTCCCTCTTTCCCACTTTCTCCCGTCCCCACAACCCACTCATCCTCCAGTTCTAATCAGAAAAGTGTAGACCTCCTATGGATATCAATCAAACATGATATATCAGGTTGCAGCAAGACTATGCATTTCCTCTCATATTGAGGAAGGTCAATGCAACCCACTATGACAATCAGGGTCCCAAAAGCCAGCAAAAGAATCAGTGTTAGGGTCAAATTTTTTAATTTGACTATTTTCCTACTTTTAAAAGTGATTTTTTTTGTAATTTTTCTTAGGGAATGATATAAGCTTCATGATACATATTTAAATACAAAATTTATCATGTAGAAATATTTTAATATCAACTATAATCCTTTTGTAACTTAATAAGTAGTACATAGCATAAAATATGAGCAATAAGAAATATTAAAAATAGGATAATTATATAAGCAATTTCTCTTCTTTCTTTGTGTAATGTATTTCCCAGTGAAATGAACAAATAATCTTTAATGACTGCGTGGGTGAAATTGATAGTTCATGCATTTATTCTTTTTTACGAAATATAATTATATTAATCATTCAAAATGCCTAAAATTGGACAACTCAGTCTCCTCTCATAAATGGGAGTTAAATTCTGAAAGCTAGGAAGAAAAATTTAGATACAGGAATATCTCTGCTATTTCTAGTTCTACTAGTATACAAAGCAGATATTTATGGGAGAGGGCTTTGACTATTTCTCACTCTCAATAGTCCTATGGATTAATTACAACCATAATACAAAACTCTAACAAGATTCCCATGAAAAGAAGTTCATCATACTAAATTCCTTTCCATTGCATTAATACTAAGCCACAATTTCAATTCAACACAACTGAGCTGATAGTCGCTTAAAGACCTTTTGACCCTCCTCAACAATAAATATACATTTTACAAAGATTAAAAGGATAGTTTAGTGAGATTTGCATATTAGTGAACAAAAATAAGGAAAGATATCAACATTAATCTAAGCTAGAAGTTTCACATCAGTATCATAATTCAAAGTTTAAATTCAGTACATACCATAGATTTTGAACTGAACTTTACAGTGTCTCTATTGCCAGGGTTCTGTTGTACTTCTAAAATGACCTTTTTAAATTTTGGTTGTTGTTTTTGCTTCTTGTTTGCAGAGCTGGTGATATGTCTTTCATTTTAGCATCTTCTTTCCTTTTCACATTCTTTGAACAATAGAGCATTATTGGGACATGATTAATGTTTATGGTTAGGGATGAGTTCAGTTTCAGTGTTAATAAGAGAAAAATTAAGCTAATTTTTTTAAAAAATTATTCTTCTCTCATGTATTGCCTCCTGACCACAGTTTCCCCTCCTTCTGCTTCCCCCAGTTCTACCCACCCCCATCTCCCCTCTCCTGCAGATCCACTCCTCCTTTTTCCCTTCAGAAAAGAGCTTGCTGGGCCCTTCAAGGCTAGGCTACAATCCAATCCACAAGTTAAGCTTTTAACTGCACCTTCCTTTCTAAATTAGAACTGTCTGTCCCTGCTGTCATAACCATGTGTCTCCTTTTCTAAGCTTCATCTTATTTTCTAACGTTCCTTAATCACATTAAATTTGACTAATGTTAATGTGATATAAGAATTTTAATTTTGAAAAAATATACAAGTTCTAAGATTATATGTTCAAAACATTTAAACAGACACACTTTATTCCAAATTAATTCTTCTTTATAAATTTAATATATATGCCACACAATCATGATATTGGCAAGAATAAAATTAGACATTTATATCATATCATATATAAAGATAATAAATACAATGCATATAAATATGTATTTCAAATTTAGGGCTCTGCCATAGGGGATGTGTGAGTGATGACTTTTTAACAAATATCTATAAAAGTTACAAAAATGTCAAAGAAAGAACTAATGTATTTGATTTCACATGAACACACATATAAAAATGTATGTTACATACATATCCTATGGATTAAGTTTTCAGTTTTGTTCTAATTACAATTAGTAAATTATAATTTAACTTATTTATAAGATAAAACACAACAGATGCTATGCTTCATAATTAATCAGGTAAGTTAAACACTTAGCTTATATATGTGTGTATATATATATATGTGTGTGTGTATATATGTGTGTGTACATATATTTGATGAGTTAATATAATGTAATATATATGTATATATATATTTGATAAGTACATTTAAAATTTCTCCCTCAGTAGCACTTATCAGATGTACTATGCTGATAAGCAGGTCTAAACAGATCTTTATTGTCTTGGCCAAATTTTCTGTTCTGCTGTCAGATAACCTCTATCACTGAATTCCCTTCTCTCTGAGTATTTATATTCTTCTCAGAGAAGTGAGATAAGAGAGATTAATTATTGTAATATTGCAAGTGTATATGTCTATGTGTAGGTATGTACACATGAGTGCAACTACCCAAGGCATAAAGGAGATGGTATTAGATCCCCTTGGCCCAGAATTACAAGCAGTTTTGTGCTTCAAAACTTCTGGGCTAAGAACCAAACTCAGGCCCATGTCTCTAGTACCTGATATACTAATTTAAAAGTATCTAAGTATTTGCTCAGAAGTGCAGTTTTCAGAACATTTGTTAAGGAACTCCAAAATGATGACTAATTCTAGACATGTCAGTGCTTGCATGTAATTCAAGCATTTCAGGCTTCGTCATTAAGGTGATGGGTATGAAGACCACCTGGGCTGCAGTAGAATTCCTCTCACATTAAAATAAGAACACAAACAGGAAACAGGGACAAAACACAAAATAATGGAATCTTTAGCAAAGCGATCACAGCTATGTGTACTCTAGCACCCAAATTCATACATTGTTACAAAGCTATAATCATTAAAATGGCATGGTATTTATATAAAAATTGACACATGAAACCATGGGAAAGACTGGAGGAGCAGAAGAAAACCCTTGTAATCTTGTTTCATAGCTTTTGTAGAAAGTTGACAAAAGTACAATAGAAAAAACATGATCATTTCAATATGATAATTGGGAGAACTACACATTGTTGGGCCAGAGAATAAAATTAGACATTTATATCATATCATATATAAAATTAAATCAGATTATATGAAGAAGAGAGAGTAGACTAGAATTGACTCATGTCTTTAAACCCTCAAAACCTACCCCTGGTCGCACAATTCCCACCCCCCCCCCCAAAAAAAATCCACATCTCCTAAATCTCCCAATCAGCACCACCAATAGGAGATAAGTATTCAAATACAGATGCTTCCAGGGGAAATTACCATTCAAGCCAACATAGGACCCATCAGAATGATGAACACAGAGTTTGCAACACAGTTGCACAGTCAACAATCATTCACGTTGATGCCATAGATATATAAAAACAAAAGATCACCTTTTAAATAAACTGGTATATAAACTGGATATCCATATGCACAAGAAAGGAATCAGAATTATCTCATTTCATTTATACATATCAACTTAAAATAAACAAAAGACTTAAACTTACAGCCTGAAACTACAAAATCATAATAAGAAAATGTAAAGGAAAAGTTTTTAACAATGATATTGGTAAAGACTTTTACATACAATCACAAAAGTCTAAGCAACAAAGGCCCAACAGACAAACTGGATAGTTATCATACTAAAAATATTATGTACCACTAAGGAAAATAAAAAGAGTAAATCAATAAGCTAATGGCTTGAGAGAAAATATCTCAAGACTACAGTTTCATTACAAAGTATATAAAAGACTAAAACAATTCATCAATATCAAAACATATAATTCAGTTTAACAATGAGACAAGACCCTCAATAGATATGTCAACAGAAAGCATTCGAATTGGCAACCTGTGTGTAAGTTTTCAACATCATTAATTTCCAAAGAAATGCAAATTTAAAGGACCATGAGACATCACATCACACTGATCCGGATGGAATTTAAACGTACAGTAAGTGGTAGAAAGTACTGCACAGGAGTTAGTTGAAGGGGAGCCTCTGTTCACTCTTGAAGGGGGATGTAAGTTAGTGGAGCCATTATGCAGTACTTGGGAGGTTTCCCCCCAAATAGACAGAGCTTCCATGTGACCCAGCGGTTCTACTGGATATCTGTACAAAAGAAATAAAATCAGCCTATTCAAGTGCTATCTGCACTTCCATGTTCACTGTAACACGATTCTCAAGTCAAATACAGACTCAATAAAAATTTGCATCAGAGGACCACCGGACAAAGGAACAATGCAATATTCTTCAGACCTAGAAGTTTTGAGGACAATAGAGGCCTCTAGAATTTTGGGGACAACATCAATGAATGTGAGACATTTAATTATTAAATGAAATTAGCCAAGTACAAACCATCACATATTTTGTAATCTCACTCAAAAATGGAAACTAAAAACTCTGGAAAAGAGAGTACTGTGGTAGTGGCTGAAAGCCAGAGAATTCTCTTTGGTGTTAAATTATCTCACACATTGCAGCTGCTAAAAACTGGGGCTAAGGATAGCTCTTGTAAAGCAGGGCTATTAGTGTTAACAACAATGCTTTTTTTTTTTTTTGCTTTAAAATTGCTGAGAATATACATTTTTTAAGTTTTCTCATCATACAAAACTAATAACTATGTGAGGTAACATATGTATTTAAATAGATAAAAGAATGTCCCTAGGTATAAATATATCAAAACTTCATGCTATGTGCCATGTACATAAAATGTCTACTTATCAATTAAAATATATCAATTTCTCTCATAAAACTAAAAAATCGGTAGATGAACATGGGAATAATTTTAATAACTTTACTTCTATAATGACTGTTCATATAAAAAAACAAAGACCCTAGGAAAATAAGAATTCATAAAGTGGAGTTCATTAAAGTTAAACTTGGCTTTGCAAAGGGCAGTGCCAAGAGGACACAAAACTAAATCACAGACTGGGAAAATATTTGTAAAAATGTATATGTGATTAAAAAGAAGACTGATATAAAAAAATTCTTTAAACTCTCAGAAAAGAAGCGAACAATCTGATCATAAAGAGACAGATCTTAATAGATATATCAGCAATAAACCTATTTGCTGAGGCCACATAGTTTTGAACACAAAAAGGCATATGTAAAATCTTCCACAGAATACATGATGAGAAAATCTAAGCTGGAACAAGGAAATGCCACTCCATACTGATTTAAGTAACAAAATACAATTCACTGACAACTGTGAATAAAGGTAATGTGGTGATGCAAAATGCCATTAGTACAAAATGTCATAGGCACTTTGGAAGTTTGGTAATCTCTATGTAATCACATTGCTGTATATATATGCATATGGAGGCATATGTTGACCTGCACAAATAAATATTCACAGAAAAGTTTGTATACAAATATATTTGCTGCATTAGGAACTACCAAATCTCAGAAACAGGCAAGGCCTTGTTAAGCAGTTTTTAGATAATCTATTCTTGTTGAGATATATTATTATTTTTCAGTGTAAAGTGAAATATGCTATCAAGCCATGAATGAAAGACATGGAAGAAACATAAAGGTCTGTCACTAAGTGAAAGCCTTTACCTGTCTGTAAAGGCTGTAAGATGCATCTTTGTTACTCTAAGGCATTTCTGAAAAGCCAAAACTAATGAGATAATATTGACAGTTGCCAAAGGACAGGGTGGAAGGAAGAATGAATGGGTGGAACACCGTGTTTGTAAAACAACCTCTATACTCACAGAAACTGACATTACAAGTTTGTCAGAATACATAGAATATACATTATACTGACAGTTCAAATGAAAACTATAAATGCTGATAGCAATGATCTCTTAGTGAGGCTTCGTGAATTTTAACAAAAATACCATTCTGAAGGGAGATGCTGGAAATATGGGAATCAATCCATGTCCAACTGGCTGGAAGGCTCCAAGAAATATTTGTACTTCCTGCTAACTTTTGCTGTCAACATAAAACTCACCGAATTAATCCATTAAAATGAACGGAGAAAGACAATTTGGAAGGAAGGCATTGACAACAGGAAGGTCTAGTGAACTGCCTTCTGGATATAGAGTAAGTGTGTAAGCTTCTGTCACAAGATGAGGTATTGTGAAATATAGAACTAAAGCAATGTTCCAAATGCATGAAGGAGAAAAGCAATAATGGTGCCACATGAAGACATCGAAATTGTTCCTGAGCAGATCAAATTAAAGGAATTAAATTAAAAATTAGAGGAAAAGTTTCTGCAAAATGTAACATTTAAAGATGGCAAGCCTTGGGTCAATATAGAAATATGGTGGTGGTGTGGTTTGATTATGGGATTTCTCTCATAGGCTTATACACTGAATCCTCAGCTGGTAGTCAAAATTTGAAGGCTGTACATATAACCTTGAAGTATTATTGAAGGAAGTGGGTAATCAGGACAAGTAACTTGAATTTCCATAGCCCAGCCCAACTTCTTTTCCTTGTCTGCTTTCTCACTACAGACTCAGTGACATCAGCCACTTCACACCTCTGCCAGTCATGATGAACTGTGCTTTTAAACCATGGGACAAAATGAACACTTTTCCCGTTGCTTTGTAAAATGTTTTCTCACAGTAACAAGAAAGTAATGGATACAGATAATTTCTGCCTGGAGAATGGGATGTGGAGTGCTATTGAGAGACAAACTGAAGGACTTTAACTGTGTTTAGAAGACTTTGAGGTCTTCAAGTAAAATATAATGCCTGATTGAACTGCGAATGTGAAAACATCAGAACTGTAGATGTAGAACTGACAAATTTAAATATTCTGGTGATAGTGTAGGACTTAGAATGAAGGAAACAAGGACTGACTTACCAGCTTCAGGAGAGGCCCTAGCTTAGGATTGTAGCATCAAGATTTGGGAAGCAATAGTCTCTGGTGGGGATATCAAGTTTCGTTTGTGGTCCTTTTGGTTTGAAGATGCCTGGCAACAATCAATAGGCTGTCTTAAACATTTTCATTTATGACTTTGGAAATGAATGAAGGCAGTATTGGATTAAAATATAGGATTAACTGATTTATAAAGCTACAAGAGTAGATGTAGTAACAGAAATGATGTGAGTGGAGAAGTAAAGGCAAAAAGTAAAGGCATTAAGACAAAGTTACCTAGCTGCTGAATTTGACTACATAGAGAGTTTTGATGACCTTTTTGCAGCTTTCAAAGGAGAGGTGTTACTATTTCTTCTATTAGAAAATGTGATTGTAACTTTAAAAAAAAGTCACAATCTCTCCAATACCACAAACATTTCCATTTCACCTAACCTTTTCATGGTTATTTAAAAATAATCCATTTGTTTGATGATAGCCATGTATTTCTTATAATTTTAAGATTTAAATATAAAACAAAAATTTAAAATAAAAGTTACAGAGTATAAGAACATAAAGCATCAACTTTAACTTAGCAGTTAGTTAAATTATTTGTAATTCAATTTGGATTAAAATAAGACAAAACTAACTTACCAAGAATGTTCATCAGGGATTATAAGTGTCTCAATCTTGTGGTCACTTTAAACTCAGATGGCCTTTAAAACTCAAGGTTTTCTTTCTCTTCTCCCTATAATGATGGTCCTTTTTTCCTCTTATCTTTTCTTACAACTTTCTCTTCCTGTCTTCCTTACTCCTTTCCCTCACTTCCTTCTCTGTGTTTTCTTCCTAAAGCCATCTTGGAAAATTCAATTCAAATTCTATTTTCTATCATTGCTTTGATTCTCTTGGCCATTGGGCTCCTTTAAGTGTACAAGCTCAGCTTCATATAATCAAATCTAGAGAAGTATCAAGCCTTCTTGGAGTTTCCTTTTTTTATTTTTTTTTATTTTATTTTCAGAGTCCTTGCTGAACATTGGTATTTTTTGTATGTTTCCCTATCATTATTTTCTGCATTATTCTTATTTGCATATTCTTTGTTCTCTCTAGTGATTTTACTTCTAAAACTCCATAGCTACAATTTTAGAAGAGGCATCTTCCACATCGTTCAATGAATCCTATGTATTTTTTGATATTTTATTTTTAATGCCACAACTATATTTTCATTTCACCTTGTGTTTTTTGTTCTCTTTAAAAATTATTTGATTAATTTGCTGCACACTACTTATCTCATGAGCTCATTTTAAGACTACTGAAGTGGGTTCACTGAATATACTTTGGAGTTCTTTCTTCAGTTTGAGTTCTAATCCAAGACCTACTTTGCCTTCTTCTCTTTCTTTGCCTTCTTTTCATCCTTCTTTGATTCAGAGGAATCACCTGCAGAGTCTTTCTTGCCTTTCTTGTCCTTCTTGTCTTTCTTCTTGTCTTTCTTAGCATCCTCCTTTGAGTCTCCCTCTGCCTTCTTCTCCTTTTTACCTTCCTTCTTCTTGGCCAAGTCTTTCTTGCTCTCTTTCTTTGAAACTCCTTTATCAGTGTCAGAATCTGCAGCATCTTTATTCTTTGAAGACTTTGTAGCAACTTTGCTTACTTTCTTTTCAGCAGCCTTGTCAGGTTCTGAATCTGCAGGTGTACCTTTTGAATCCTTCGCTTCCTTTTTACCTTTTTTGGCCTCTTTTTTCCCACCAGCCTTTTCACCTTCAGATTCCGAGGCTACACCTTTATCCTTTGATGCCTTTTTTCCTTTTTTGGCTTCTTTCTTCCCAGCAGCCTTTTCACCTTCGGATTCTGAAGCTGAGCTTTTATCCTTTGGTTCCTTTTTATCTTTTTTGGCTTCTTTCTTCCCAGCAGCCTTTTCACCTTCGGATTCCGAGGCTATACCTTTATCCTTTGATGCCTTTTTATCTTTTTTGGCTTCTTTCTTCCCAGCAGCCTTTTCACCTTCAGATTCTGAAGCTGAGCTTTTATCCTTTGGTTCCTTTTTATCTTTT